GACCTGGATCCATTCGAGGCTGTGCCGGTGCCACGCCACGCCACACGATGGTCTCGGCCAGGCCGGAGGCGGTGGACCTCGGCATCGTCAGTGGCGACAGCGATGTAGCCATCCAATTGGCGTGCTGACTCCAAACTCTGCTCATCTTCGATTTCTGAAAAATTCGGAAGATTGATTGTTGAGGTTGCGTATTAAGTATGGCTCATGTGGTACCTCGATCAGCCATGTCGAGCTTTTCAAAGAAATTGGAGTCCGGGGTATTTGCATGTTCCGCATACTTTGAGTGAGGATCGAATCGAAGGAAATCGTAACAGGCTTGAGCGAAACTCGCCGTATCGGATGATTTCACGGGCGGAGAATGAGAATGCATGGGGTCTAAAAGGCCTTCCCAGTTGTTTGAGTCCTTGGATTTCTCTCCCAAATTTGATTTGAAGTGGCCTTGGATTCTTCTTCCATGGAATGGAGGTTCTTGTGGGTGAGGAAGAATGGAGTTCTGTGTGCGGTGGTGGTGGATGATTTCTTCGATTCCTCGATGTGAGTCGGTGAGTTGTTGTTAGCTCGGCTGTGGTTTGATGGAAGTAAGCTTGGAATTGAGCCATATTCTGTGGAGGTTGTTTGAAAAACTCCAGGCGGCAGCGAAGGCAAGGTGGCCGGCCGGGCTGCCCGCCGGAAAGAAAGAGTATTAGGCCTAAAACTCCTTATGCTCTGATACCATGTAAGATAAATTGATGTATTATTCTTGATTTGTGTAATTACAAGATTGATGTATTGTTTCTGTATTGTATGTGATAATTTACAAAGAGAAGGAACTCTCTCTCTTTATAGAGAGACGAATGAAACATTGGATACCCAACAAGACCCACTATCACCGAAAAGCAACAAAAGGAATAAAGCTAAAAGCTATACAATTTATATACTAAAGCTAAAGCTAATTAACAATTAACAATTATATATTAACAGGATCAAAGTCTTTTTTTAATTTATTTTTTTCTTCTCTTTGTGTGAAATGTTTGTCTCGAGAAATCGTTTGAAGTTCACATGATCTCTCTCTTT